AGGGGGGTCGCTGGGATGCTGATGAGGGTACTGAGGCAGAGGGGGCAGGCGGAGCAGACAGGGCAGACGGGGGAGCGGAGGCAGGAGAGGATGAAGAGTAAGAGGGTCGGCAGGCTGATGGCACGAGTGCTGCAAAGGGAGGAGGTGAGATGGAAGAGGTGCATTTGCAAAGGGAGGAGGTGAGATGATGTTTCATCCACTGCCTCTCTCATGTCGTCATTTTCCATCCTCTCTCATGTCGTCATTTTCCATCCTCTCTCATGTCGTCATTTTCCATCCTCTCTCATGTCGTCATTGTTCTCCTCCTCTGGCCTCTCTCTCTCCTTTGCGGTAACTTTGTGTGCTGAAAGCATTTCCAATGCCTGCCTTATCATCACCTCCCCCCCTCTTTCTCACACCTCGCTTAGGTGCGAGTGCTGCTGGCCATACAGCAAGAGGCTGTGGCCCTCTGCTCTCACAGCACTTCCACTGCCTGCTTTATCACCTCCCCCCCCCCCTCTCTCTCTGCTGCGTAGGTGCGAGTGTTGCTAGCCATACAGCAAGAGGCGGTGGCCCTCTGCGTCCGAAGCACGGGCAGGCTGCCTCAGTGGCAGTGCCGGGCCATGTGGCGCGCTCTCTTGGACTGGTGGGTGTGAGACGTGGGAGCGTGGGAGGAGGGGGCGTGCTGGTCTTACTATCGTATGATGATGATGACGATGGCAGGTCTTTGCGTTCGAAGCACGGGCAGGCTGCCCCTCTGGCAGTGCCGGGACTTGTGGCGGACTCCCTTGGACTGGTGGGTGTGTGATAGAGGTGGGAGAGTGACGGTCGGGAGTGACAGTAACGCATGGTGATACCAGTGATGGCTGGAGATGGCGCCACCAGTGGCACTCTGTGGTCGCAGTGAGGGCAGGCTTCCTCACTGCCGGTGCCAGGCCATGTGGCGGACACTCTTGGATTGGTGGGCGTGAGAGATGGGCATGTGAAGGATGGGGGCGTGGTGGCGTTATTGTTGCATGGCGACGCTAGCAGGGTTAACCATTTTGGTAGAGTGCGTTGCATGGCGACGCTAGCAGCTTGTGACTGACAGGCTCTAGTGGGTGTTGACAAATGGGAGGGAGGGTGGATGGTGGAAGGGAGCAGTGTGCACTAGCAGAGAGCATGGGGTAATGTGACTCTAGGGGGGGATGACAACAGGAATGGATGATACGATGATACTACGAGGTAGTAGTATCGGGCAACTGCCCATCCATCCATCCATCCATCCATCCATCCATCCATCCATCCATCCATCCATCCATCCATCCATCCATCCATCCATCCATCCATCCATCCATCCATGACACACTGGCAAATGGGACGGGCTGGGTTTTTGAGGCGCCTCAAAAACCATCCATGACACACTGGCATATGGGACGGGCTGGGAACGTGCACGCCAAGCTGCCCTCTGCTGCCTGCTGTCATGCATTGTGTTGCCTGCTGTCATGCATTGTGCTGCCTGCTGTCATGCATTGTGTTCCCTTTTTTCGCTCGCCCATTTTGTTCACTTGAACCTTCGCCCTTTCTCTTGCCCCCTTCTCCCCCCCCCCCCCCCCCCACCCCCCACTTTCTCTGCTTCATCCACATGCTTCTCGCCCCATCTCTTCCCATCTCTTCCCATCTCTTCCCATCTCTTCCCATCTCTTCCCCCACTCACTACTGCTCGACAGTTTCCTCCTCCCCCTCAGGACCCTCCCCATCCCATCCGCCCCACCCACCGTCCCACCAGCACACCCCTCCCCATCACACACCCCCCCCAACCGCTGGCACTCGCTCTACTCACTCCTCCTTACAGTCACAGGGGCAGCAGGGGCAGCAGCAGGGGCAGCAGCAGGGGCAGGCAGAGACAGGGTGCAGTCCCCAGCAGGTGATTCTTCAGGTGAAAACGGTCAGCTGGGGGTTCCTCCGTCTGTGCTCAGCTCGTTTCCAGCACCGTCGCTGCCGTCGTCCGTCTTCCCTCCTCCCCCACCGCCTCTCTTTGCCTCTTGCTCTCATGTGCTCATGCTGCTTCGGGAGCAGCAGCAACACCAACAGCAGCAACACCAACAGCAGCAACAGCAGCAGCAAGTGCAGCAGCAGCAGCAGCAGCAACAGGAACAGGAACACCGACAGCAACAACAGCAGCAGCAGCATCGGTGGCAACAGCAACAGGACAGCCGCCTGCAAGCTTGTGATCTGATCCTATTTTCCGTCCGTTTCCTGCTACAGTGCTGTGCCACGGCCACTGTAGCAGAGATGGCAGGGATGGTTCCTCTCCCTGTCATTGCGGGCTGGCTCGTTGACGGGGGAGGCGAGAGGGGGAAGATGGATCACATGAAGGCAGGGGGCACAGGACTAGCACTGACCAAAGGGGTTACGAGAGTGGGTAGTAGAGTGCGGGGGTGGGAGAGTGGGAGGGCAGCAGGGGATGTGGTGGGCGGGCTGTTGAAGCTACTAGGGCGAGCAGGGTCGGACCAGCAGCTGCTGGCTGCTGCTGCCCGGTCTGCTAACGCTGATTCCTACTCCCGCTGCTCCTCCCTGCTCTCGCTCGTTCAACACCCCATCGGACCCTCCTCTCGGACCTGCCGCCTCTGCGCCGGTCCTCTGTACGCTCCGTTGACCCGAGCCAGCACCAACACTGATGCTGGCCGCAAGGGCAACCAGCCTCTACCACCAGCCGCTGCAGCAGCAGCAGCAGCACTAGCAGCAGCCGCCGCAGCAGCAGCAGCAGCAGCAACGGAAACAGCACCAGTGGAGGCGTTTCTGTGTGGGCATGGGTTTCACCAGTCCTGCTTGGAGCGCCGGCACAGAGAGAGCTTCTTCTTCCCACCAGCCCGCGAGTGCCCCGTCTGTGGCGCCTCCTCCACTCGCCTCCTGCCCGCCCACCTCTCCTCTGCTCCACCTGCCACTGCGGCTGCTGCTAGTGTGGGTGGCTCACGCTTTGGCCTTGGGAACAGCAGCAGCAGCAGTAGTAGTGGTGGTGGTGTGGGGAGTGCCTGGGTGGGTGGGGCCAGTGGGCTGGCTGCTTCGCTGCTAGAGGCACCAGACAAACGAGAAGGGGGGAGGGAAGGGACAGGAGGGGCGGCTGCAGCACCATCGTCATCTGCTGCAGCACCATCGTCATCTGCTGCAGCATCCTCTTTATCGTCGTCTTCAATAAGCACAAGGGTGAGAAATAGTGGCGTAGGCTGATGTTGGGCTGTCCTTCTAGCTGTGCCGCGGAGGTGTTTGAGGGACCATTGGTGTGTGGGTGGGGGTCATGCATGCCGACTTGCAAAGTATCTGTCTGTCTTTTGACCCGCCCTTTGACCTCCCTTTTGCGGTATGACTCTGTGTTGACTCAATTGTCATCCCACTTCTCAACAAACCCCAAGGCAAACCCCACTTCTCAACAAGCCCCAATGCAAACCCCACTTCTCAACAAACCCCAATGCAAACCCCACTTCTCAACAAACCCCAAGGCAAACCCCACTTCTCAACAAACCCCAATGCAAACCCCACTTCTCAACAAGCCCCAATGCAAACCCCACTTCTCAACAAACCCCAATGCAAACCCCACTTCTCAACAAGACCCAAGGCAAACCCCACTTCTCAACAAGCCCCAATGCAAACCCCACTTCCCAACAAACCCCAATGCAAACCCCGCTTTCCAACAAGCCCCAATGCACACTTCACTTCCCAACAAACCCCAATGCAAACTTCACTTCCCAACAAGCCCCAACGCTAACCCTTTTGCCCCCCCTGGAATACGCTGTTGCTCCTCCTCCCTGTGTGCAGCTTCACACACTAGAAGCCTCCAGGAAACAGCAGCAGCACGACGAGTCATGCCGACTGAAACGTCTCCATGCCACATCAGCGCCACGCTCCACAACTGCAAGTGGGAGGGGGAAGATGCAGGGAGGGAGTGGGCAGGGAAGAGGGGGGAAGGAACGCTTGAGACAACAGACGGAGGAATTGCAGAGTAAACGGGAGGAGAGGCAGAGGGCTGCTACCGAGCGGCAGCAACGGGTGAGCATGTTCAATCCATTTGGACGATTCTTTAGGGGAGGAACTGGGTCATAAGCATGAAAGGTGAAGTCATGTTATGGTACAAGGTTGCTAGTGCTGCAACTAACAGGCCCATCTTGATGTGTCTCTAAATGGTGGTTTCTACAGTGTAACTCGTTGAAGAGTATATCACACAATGGAAAGCTATCCTTGATGTCTTCAAAGCTTGCAATAGACTGACTGTTGCATCTCTATAGGTTATCATTTACTTCTTATACAGCGTACAGCTTGACCTGTGGGTGCGAGTGACGACAAGGCGGTGGCACCCAAAATTCGCGACGTTGCTTCATTGTTGTCCTCCGGTCTTGTTTACCAGCCGCGATTTGTGAAGCAGTCGTTCAATTCCATCGGACGGCCAGTGTCTCGCGCATCTGAACAACACGACAAATCTAATACCGCGTGGAGCAGTCGTTCAGATTCCATCGGACGGCCAGTACAGTATCTCGCGCATCTGAACCGGACGACAAATGTAGAGCGCGTGGAGCAGTCGTTCAGATTCCATCGCACGGCTTGTATATCTCGTTCATCTGACTGAAACCGTACAACGACAAATGTAGAAGCGCGTGGAGCAGTCGTTCAAATTCCATCGGACGGCCAGTATCTCGCGCATCTGATGTACAACTTCAAACCAAACGCGCAGAGCCCATAGAGGAAAAGTAGCGACCAGCCTGCCTCACGGCGTGTCAGATGCCATACGTTCTGAATTGCTACCCTCAGGGCGCGTCACATTTTTGTGAACATGAAGCGAGAACCAAGTTTTGGCGAATGTAACCACCTTCGCGACACTCGTCAAATTGTCGCGACAGCCCCGAAATTCCCACCCCAAATAATGACATGCCCTAAAGCCCAATTCTCCCCATGTTCTTTCTGGTTTTCGTTAGCATACTCGCCCTTCGCGAAGCTCTGCGAAGCGTTTGCTCTTTTGAACATAGGTTCGGAAGTTCGTAAAAATGTTACGCGCCCTCAGTACAATTCTTGTTTCCGCATTCGGTGCGAACGAGTCTCCATTCCCGCTCCTACACTATCCGCCTTTGCTAACTCCGACTATTAGCGGAGACTGAGAGTCTCATCTCGGCTAGAGAAAAAGCCATGGCTTCCAATCCCCCCCCTCCCATCGGCGGCATACAGCCGATGACCCTCCCGGAGGTTCAGGAGCGCATCGACCAGCTCTATGGCGACCGCAACGCGAAGAACTTTCGCCAAGGCCTGGGTAAGGGGCTGATGTCCGTCGGTAAGGGCGTCTTCGCGGGCGTCGGAGGGATGGTTGCAGCGCCAATTGCGGGACTTGTACAGCAAGGCCCGATTGGGCTCATCAAAGGAACAATGGTGGGCGTCGCGGGGCTCGTCGTTCTCCCTACCGTCGGAATCGTGCAAGGCGCGCAGCAGCTAGGGACGGGGATTAAGAACACTCCCGACTATATTCGCGAGATGATGAAGAAGGATAAGAGCGAGGAGGAGGCGGAGAAGATGGAGTTATTAGATGATGACGCCGACGCGGATAGTGTTAACGAGGAGACTTACTCGCACACGCGCGAGACCGTCGAGAAGATCGCGCTGGATGACGCCGCAGCAGCAGCCGCCGCGGCCGCCGCGGAAAAGCGGGAGAAGAGGGAGGTCAAGGACGACGCGCTCTACGTGGTCCTGGAGGTGTCGACCGACGCGACGTCTGTGGAGATTAAGAAGGCGTATTACAAGGTGCGTGGTGCGGGGGGGTGGGGTGAGGGGGGGGTGGGTGAGATCGGCGGAGATTGAGAAGGCTTATTACAAGGTGCGTGGTGGTGTTGGTGGTGATGCGAGGGGTGGAGGAGGAGGGGGAGAGGTGAGAAGGAGGTTTCGCTCCCTGCTCCGCGGACTCCGCGGGACATTATACAAGGCGTATTACAAGGTGGGTGGTGATGGGGGTGCTGTGCAGCTCTAGTATTAGTGCTTCGCTTGAAACAGAGGGATGCCTGGCGGGAGCCGCGGAAAAGTGAAGAGTTTTTTTCTCGTCTTGTTCGATCTTTTTTTCCTTTCGATCTTTTTTCCTTTCGATCTTTTTTTCCTCTCGATAAATTTGTCGTCAGGAGCATCTGACACGTGTACGACTTCTGTGCGTTGAACGCGCATGACTTTACTCTTTCTTTTCGGAGCAGAGCTTTCGAATCATGTCTAGAACGCTCCATACCGCGCTGTGACCATCGCACGCGTCGAACATCGCACACATCGCACGCATCGCGCGCGTCGCAGACACCCTTTTGCTTCCCTTCCTCTTCGCCACACCCTGTACTACTCCCCCCACCCCTTTCCGCCACTTCATTTTCTCTCCTACTCCGCCATTTCTCTCCTACTCCGCCATTTCTCTCGCACTTCTACCGCGTCTGCAGCTGGCGCGTACGTGCCATCCGGACAAGAACCCCGACGACGAGACCGCCAAGGCGAAATTCCAAGCGGTGGGCGAAGCCTACCAGGTCCTCATGGATCCTGACAAGCGCGAGAAGTACGACCGCTTCGGCCGCGCGGCCCTGGACGACACGTTCATGGATCCCGGCGCTTTCTTCACCATGTCCTTCGGCGCGGATAAATTCAAGCCGCTGGTCGGGGAGCTCACTATCGCGTACACTGCGGCCGGGAATCTGACGGTTGCTGAGGTGAAGAAGTGGCAGGCGACGAGGGAAAAAGATCTCGCCGCGATTCTGCTCAAGAGGCTGGAGCCGTGGCTGGCGGGGGACGAGGAGGGGTTTGTGCGCGACGCGGTGGCGCAGGTGGAGGATCTCAAGGGGGAGGCGTTTGGCCTGGCGTTCCTGCACTGTATCGGGTATGAGCTGTATCGCGTATATTGTGGAGTGCGTGATTGCTGAAGGGCGACGAGGGGTTTGTGAGGGACGCGGTTGCGCAGGTTGGAGATCTGGAGGGGGGGCTTTCCGCGTGGCGTTCCTGCACTGTATCGGGTACGTGGTGTAACGTGTGCACTCTACCTTCAGTGATTTTTTATGCTTACTTACCCTGCACCGTAAAAAGGAAGGAATTTGCTGCTATCTGGTTGAAAAGAACTGAATAAGATACGGTACTTAATAAAAAAAATCCCATTCCCCTCCCTTCCCCCCCCTGGCCCACGCTCCCCTTCCCCTCCCCTCCCCCACACACACATTCCCCGAACCCCTTGCCTCTGCGCTGTGAAAAGCTCTGCTAGGCACGATGGTGTGATGATCGGCATTCAGGGTTGCTCAGCTTATCACCTTCCCCGCTCCCTCCCCCCCCCCCCCCCTCTTTCTTTCTCTTCCCCCATCAGCTACACCTACTACACACGCACAGCGCAGAGGCGTGACGGCGTGACGCTGGGCGTGACGGCCCCCAGTGCTGCTGGGCGTGACGGCCATGCTGGGCGTGACGGCCATGCTGGGCGTGACGGCCATGCTGGGCGTGACGGCCATGCTGGGCGTGACGGCCATGCTGGGCGTGACGGCCATGCTGGGCGTGACGGCCATGCTGGGCGTGACGGCCATGCTGGGCGTGACGGCCATGCTGAGCGTGACGGCCATGCTGGGCGTGACGGCCATGCTGGGGCGTGACGGCCATGCTGGGCGTGACGGCCATGCTGGGCGTGACGGCCATGCTGGGCGTGACGGCCATGCTGGGCGTGACGGCCATGCTGGGCGTGACGGCCATGCTGGGCGTGACGGCCATGCTGGGCGTGACGGCCATGCTGGGCGTGACGGCCATGCTGGGCGTGACGGCCATGCTGGGCGTGACGGCCATGCTGGGCGTGACGGCCATGCTGGGCGTGACGGCCATGCTGGGGCGTGACGGCCATGCTGGGCGTGACGGCCATGCTGGGCGTGACGGGGGGGTGACGGCCATGCTGGGCGTGACGGCCATGCTGGGCGTGACGGCCATGCTGGGCGTGACGGCCATGCTGGGCGTGACGGCCATGCTGGGCGTGACGGCCATGCTGGGCGTGACGGCCATGCTGGGCATCCCCAAGTTTGTCAACTTCAAAGCATCCCCGTTTCCCTCTCGCTCGCCATTCCGCTTGCTCTCGCTCCCCCGCCCCCCTGCTCAAACCCCACATCTTCCCCTCTCATCCCCCTCCTCCCCCCTTCCCCCTGTCAGCTACACGTACTACACACGTGCACAAGTGCTGCTGGGCGTGACGGCCATGCTGCGCATCCAGGGTTGCTCAGCCTTTCTTTCCTTCCCCCCCCTTTCTCTCTCTCTCCCTTCCTTCCCCCATCAGCTACACCTACTACACGCGTGCCCAGGTGCTGCTGGGCATGACGGTCATGCTGGGCATCCCCAACTTCGTGAACGTGGTGAAGGAGTCCGGCCACGCCATAAAGACCCGCCACAACGCCATCGACGCCGCGTTTAAGTAAGTGAGACTTTTAAAGGTGGTGCATGGACACACCATGAAGGCACGGCCCAACGCTATCGACTATGCGGGACTTTTTTTATGGTCGACTAGTCGATAGACTTATAAAATTATGAAGACACACGCAAGGGGCTATCACCTTTAGACATGAGCATATCGCATCGCATCGCTTCGCATCGTATCGCAATTATCGTTTTTTTGTGATTGCGGTTTTTTTGGCCAACAAAAATCCAAAAAAATCTTGCCATTATGTTTCTCCTTTGCAGAATCAGAAAGGCATTCGTTTTTTGCTTGTTATCACCACCCCCACCCACCTCCTTCCTACGTAGCCTAGGAGCGTTAGACTTATCTAGTACACACTCAACGTAGCTCATAGCATCCCACACACAGTAGGGTTTAGGTGTAAGAGCTGATATAAAAGGAGCTGAAACCCTAGATGTTGCTGTAGTGTGCCAACTTGATTCTCGTGCAGGGCTGCCGCTTTTTTTTATCTCTCCAACCACCCCCCCCCCCCGTTTTTCCCATTTTCTAAAATGTGATGCGATATTACATTGCATCGCGCGATTTAATGTGTGGCAAATGCGATGATTACTTAAATCCGCCCATTGTGCAATAAGGGATAACCAGATTCCTGAAAAATATATCGCATCGCATATTTTGCGATTAGTTACAAAGCGATGCAATAAAAATATTGCATGGCGTTTTGATCTTGTCTAATCCCCTTATAAGCTATCCCCTATATGGTAGCATTGTAAGGTTATCACCTTACACGCACTGTCCTTATAGTATATCATCGCATTAGTTATCGCCTTGAGTGCATGCTATTGCCCACTAGTTTAGGACCTTATATTATATGGTATCACATTATATGGTATCACTTTAATGCTTCTTTACACTATCTATGATATCACCTTGTAGGCTCTCAACCCATAGGCTACCTTCAAAGTTGTCTTGTAGTATTTCACCGGATTGAATTTCACCTGATGAGCTGGCCTGGCACCTAATGAGCTGGCACCTTATGAGCTGGCACCCAGATCAAAGCTAGCACCCAGATCGAAGGTGAAAGAAGACCCCAAGAAGCCCCCACCCCCAGTGCGGCCAAATCAATGTGGATGCCCCTGAACCAACCCCTTCCACGTCCTCTTACCCATGTTTCACCCCTCAAGCGACCCGAAATGCAGGTGACCCCTGGACTCCCAGAAGCCCGCCAGAGAGAGAGATCCATGTGTCGGCTCTTCCTTGTCCCCTCCTCCCCACAACCCGGCTGCCCCCTCTCCCACCTCACACCCCGCTGCCCCCTCTCTCCCTCCACAGGCTTTCTGAGATGCAGGTCAGTGTGGACCCGGCTAAGCCCCCAGCGAGCAGCCCAACATGCACCAGTTCCTCAACTCCGTGTGGATGGTGAGTGGGTTTAGAGGGGCGTATCAGGACGAGTGTTCATGTGCCCTAAGAGATCTCACAGCCAAGCGAGCAGCCCAACATGCACAGCGCACCCAACGGAGCAGCGCACCATGCACCATGGACCAGTTCCTCAATTCCGCGTGGATGGTGAGTGCGGGTTGGATGGTGAGTGCGGGTTGGATGGTGAGTACGGGTCAACGAGAGGCACACATGTGTCTGTCTAGAGGGATCTAGAACAAGTCATGGCTGCCATCCTCCAATGCTTAGTGGGTGGCGGTGATTGGGCAATGCGATGATGGCGCCACATACAAGGAGCGAGGCACGCACACATGCATGCTTTGCAACCCTCCTAAAACAGCGGAGTCTACATGTTTTGATCTTCCTGATTCTTCCAAAAGCAGTCTCATTCACTCTCTTCCCTCCATTGCTCACTCTGTATCTCTCCCTCCAATTGCCTGCTACCCAACTCCTCCCATATCCATCATCCAACTGTAACAGTTAAGCGTGCTGGACATAGAGAGTACACTGCGCCACGTGGTGGAGCTTGTAGTGAAGGACAAGACAGCTTCTAAAGAGGACAGGAAGAAGAGGGCCAGCGGGATCATGCGGCTGGGGAAGATCTTCCAAGGGGCGTAGAGGAGCGTTCGACGAGGAGCATGACAGGATAAACCACGGTTTCCCTGAACTCCCAGGGAAAGCGCAATTTTTCAGTGTAGTTTCATGCCATTTGTTCAGTGGATTGTAGTGGAGCGGAGTGGAGTGGAGTGGAGTAGAGCGGACTACTGGCTTGGGACTTCGGACCGGAAATAATCCCAGGAGCATGAGAGCAACACTGGCTGGGAGGTCATCGGTCAAAAGATCAGAAAGCAGTACTGCCTGAATACAGCCCCTAAGTTCTAAGTGTGACTGGGAATTGTCTTGTTTCTGTTGCTTTTTGCATAGCTGGTCTTTATTATCCTAATATTCACATTTATCATCACTACATAAATTTCCTTCCGATTCACCTCTGCGTGAGTTTGACGTGAGGTCTGTTGGGCTGAGAAAAAGCCCTTAGGATCTTTTCAGAGACTAAGTCCAGCTGTGGAGACTTGAGACTTTGAGTAGTGCAGCGGAAGTTGAGGCAGTTGAACCCTTGTACTAGTATGTGAGAACAAGTGATTGATTAAAGAAACAAGCATACAGCAATATATAGAAGATAAGAAAGCAGTTGTAGAGTACAGTTACAGGAACGGTTTATCGAGTCGCACAGCGACTCGATTGCCGCTTCGGTTACCATCCGTGATGTTGTAACGGTCAGTCGCAACCTCCAGTTGCGACCTTTCGAGTCTTTTCGCATTCTTTGTCCGCCCCCTCATGTAACCTCTGTTGACTCGCGTGCTCCCCTGTAGTCTTCCTCGAGTGCAGTGTTACACTTCAGAAACGCTTAAGTCCTTTGAGATATTTCCAACACTCCCCTTCGTTTCTGGAGTGTTGACGTGTTCGGGTCCGGTGACGTTTGTTTGCCCGGTCAGGAGGTGCAGTAGTCGAATTTTGCTTTCGCCAATTCTTCGTCAGATAATCTGCGGCCATTTCTGTCGTCGGGCAGTAACTGAGTTGAAGTCTCCCCTTCGCGATTTCATCCTTGACGAAGAAGTACCGCAGGGCGATGTGCTTAGTTCGGTTGGCGAAGCCGTCCTTGTTCGCGATTTTGATCGCAGATTGGTTGTCGCAGAGGAGTGAGAAGGCGGGCAGGGTCGCAATCTTCGCTTCCTCGAGTAACTCTCGTAGGTAGAGTCCTTCCTTGGTCGCAGTACAGAGGGCGATATATTCTGCTTCAGCCGAGGATAGTGCGATTAACTCCTGCTTGCTCGACTGTCAGGAGATAGTTCCGATAGGTTCTAGTCGGTAGATGTAGCCCGTCCTAGATCGTCGATTTTCCCTGTCTCCCGCGTGGTCGGCGTCGACGTATCCGAGTAGTCGTACGGACGGTGTTGTTGCCTTGCTGTAGGTGAGCCCGATCGTCGGCGTGGAGACGAAGTAGAGTAGCGCCCGATTGAGCTCTTCGAGATCTTCCTGTTCCGGCTGCTTCAGATGCGTCGCCAGTTGACTCGCACTATAGGATAGGTCGGGTCGGCAGGTTACTGCTGCGAATAGTAGGCAGCCGAGCTTCTGTTGATACTCCTGGATTTGCTTCGCGGGGAGTTTTGCGGAGGCGCTGTTGTTGTTCCCGTAGCGGTAGGGAGTTGGGACCGCAGTCGGTGTTAGACCGAATTTCTTCGCGACGGTGCCTGAGTACTTTCCAGCGTGTAGGTAGAACGCCGTGTCGTCTTCGACGACATTCAGTCCTAGGTACTGAGTAACTTCGTCGGACACCGTGATGTTAAGCCTTCTTTCAGCTCCCCTTCGAACCAGGTGGCGATGTCGGTAGTGGAGCCGATGTAGAGCAGGTCGTCGACGTAGACGATGAGTAGGACATACTCTCTTCCCTTCTGCAGTCGGTACATCCCTTGGTCATGCGGCAGTTGTAGGAATCCGATTTTTGCGAGACGGCCGTGAAGGTGATGCTGCCAGAGCCGCGGGGCTTGCTTGATCCCGTATAGGGATTTTGTCAGTCGGCATACTTTCGTGGGGTCGTCGATGAATCCGTGGGGTTGTTCGACGAAATCTCAGCGTCCACAGGTGCGTATAGGAACACATTGCGACGTCGATTTGGCATAGTGGTAGTGTCTTCGTGGCCGCGACGGCGAGTAGGATGCGTAATGAGGTGTGACGGGAGACTGGAGCGAAGGTTTCTGTGTAGTCGGTTCCGTATCGTTGATCGAAGCCTCGTACGACCCATCGAGCTTTGAATCGTTCGATGGAGCCGTCTGAGTTGGTCTTGATGCGGTACACCCATTTCCCCGAGAGACGTTCTTCCCGTTGATGCTTGTTGCAGGTACCAGTTTCCATGTTTCTCGGTCTTGCAGAGCTTTTAACTCCTTTTCCATCGCTTCTTCCATTTTGCCTTATGTTCCCCCCCAGAGCCTGCGACAAGGTCGAAGGCTCACGCGGAGAAGGCGGCGGCGGATGCTGGACGGAGACCCAGAGGCCTAGAATCTGCAGTCCCGTGGGTGTGTGTCGAGGGGAATTTTCATTCCCGGAATAAGCTGCTTCGTCACCGTCTTCTGGGTCAGGTAAGAAGTTGGGACCGATGCGTTCTGAAACATTTGTGTCGACTGGGTGGGTGTAATGTAACCTTGGTCAGCGAAGTGGTAAAAGGTGTCGAGGTTGTTGCTATCGAGAGGATTGTCTTCGTCGAGTGGAACAGGTACGGAACAGAAGGGAGTGGTCCGGCAGCTTCCGAGGCTCCAGGTACGTCTTCTTCTGCTGCGTCAGCTTCGGCAGCACGATCGGCAAAGGAACGAAGTCCCGAGAAGCCGTCGGTGGGGTCTTGTGTGTTGGCAATGTTGTCCAGGTAATGCTGCAGCGTCAGTCGCTCGTAGAAGATAACATCACGTGATGCCACCGTATTTTTGTCTTGTATGTCGAGAATTTTCCACGCGTGAAAATGTTTGCGATGCCGAGGTGTAGTCCCCACCGAGCTCGTTGTGAAGCGTCCTGCTCGGGCTGTGTGGGGTCTGTACTGTACCATGCAGCCAAAACTCGAGTAATTTTGTGCTGCCCCTTTTTCTTGTCCACAACAGGTGCGGTGATGCGTTGTTGGGAAGCGATGACGAGGACAACAGGTTGTGCAGGTGAACTGCATGTGTCATCGCGTCTGGCCACAGTGTGTGGGCAGCCTCATCCCCAGAAGCAGTTTTCGCATCGTCGTCTGCAAGGTCCGGTTCATGCGTTCTGCGACCCCCTGCTGTGGTGAGCATAGGCAGGGACACCAGGCGTCTGATTCCTCTTTCCGCCAGATAGGTCCTGAAGCGTTGTGACTGGTATTCCAGTGCACCGTCTGACTGGAAGCTCTTGAGTTTGAGTCCTGATTCTCGTTCGGCGATGGGAGCCATGTGTGAAGGCTTCGAAGGCTTGATCGCGCGTCTTGAGATTGAAGTGCCAGACGTATCTGGTTGCTGCGTCGATGAACGTGATGACGTAGTTGAAGTCGGCTTCGGTGTCTTCTCGAGGCATGTTTAAAATCGCTGTAGACTTTTTCCATCGGAGCGTATGCAGGTGCGCTTGGGTTGTGATGGGATGAAAAGGTTGATGAGGAAGATCTGCTTCGGGGCACGTGAAGCACCGTGCGTGGTCGTCGAAGTTCTTGGCCGTCGTCGTTAGAGGGCGTTGCGTTCTAACACTTCTGCTTGGATTGTTTGTAGTATCGTGCTGTTTGCAGGGTGCCGAGGCGTTGGTGCCAGATGTCGTCGGAGCGCGATGACCGGGCGAGCGGTGGTAGATGTCGGCGTTGGAGAAGAACGCGACGACTGTGGCGGGACTTCGACAGCTTCTCGTGTGACGGGCATAAGTTGGTCTGCTTCGGTTGGCGGTCCTCGGATCGCTGGTGGTGGTACTCGGCTGGGTCCTGCTGCTGACTGCAGGTGATGGTTTGTTGGGATACTTGCGGGTACTTGTCTTTCTTGTCTGATACTGCTAATGCTCGTGTTCTTTCTGCTGCAGGTATGGTGTTGGAGTGCCAGAAGCCGTCACTGTCGAAGTCGGGATCAAGATCCGGCGGGTGTCCAGGCGGCGAACGATACGATGCCGTCGCTGTCGGCAGTTCCGCGGTCGGGGACGAAGTCCAACACGAAGACGCCGGACTTCAGGAGGGCACGACCGATGAAGAGACCGCCCTTCCCGTGGTAAAGTCGAAACTCGTTGGAGTAAGAGTCGCACTCCAGGTGAATCCCCTTGGCCATTAGTTGGCTTACGCTTAGTAGGTTGTATCCCAGTTGTCGACAATGAGGACTTTGTTGAGCTGAAGTATGACGTTTGTCTCCATGGATTGTAACTGAACCACGCCTTGTCTGTTTGTCTTCAGGTTTTCGTTGTTGGCGACGGTGATGATGACGTCGCGGTTGAGGCGTTTCTCCTGTTGCACGAAGCGTCCCGAGAGCACATGTGTTGACCGCAGCAGCTGTCCAAGAACCAGGTGTTTCGCCCGGTGGGTTCGGCGTTGGCGACCGCAGCGTATGTCGGATTGACTGAAGTCCTTGTGAGCGCGGTGGCGGGAATTCCTCTTCGTCTGGTGCGTAAGTGGGTGGTGATCCGGGTGCGCAGTTGTCGATGTGTACCATGCAGTTATATGTTTGGTGTCTGTTGTGCAGATGTTGAAGAGCGCCTTGGAGGACTTTCTTGAGTGGAAGCGACTTGTGGGTCTACTGGCGATAAACGCGAGGGCGTGTGCAGTTGACCTTGGAGTGCCCGGAAGTCTGGCAGTTGTGGCAGAACGGCGGCACGAAGGTAGTCCTCTGTTGTCGCGTTGATCTTGCTTGCCGCGTCGATTGTAGTTGTTGTCGTTCCTTCGTTGAGTGTAGAAGACTAACTGCTGCTGCTTCCTTGGTTGTCTTTCTTCGAACAGGTCCATCTCCTGTTGTTCAGCGTGAAGCTCGGCGCAGAGGTGCATCTCCGAAATCCTTCCGTGGGGCGAAGAAGCGATCGTGTGGTTCTCCATTCTGGCCCGAGCCCGCGAGGACAAGCGTCACGAAGCTTTCTTCAGTGATTGTTCCTCCGCACCGAAGCAGGCGGTCGCGGAGGGTCTGGCAGCGACTCATATACTGCATCGCCTTTTCTCCGGTCTTCATCTGTATTGTTGTCAGTTGTTGCATGAGTCTGCTTTGTGTCACGCTGTCGTTTGCTTGATAGAGGCACTTGAGGATGCCATGCGAGTTCCGCGGAGTTTCCATAGCTCCGTATGTTCTGATGCTCTGCTGTTCTTGTGGTGACAGGTTTCTCAGGAGAACTGTGTACGCCAGCAGCGACTGATACGTGAAGATTTCTTGCCTTTCCAGTGCCGTTGCTTGGGAATGGCAGGGACCCGTTGAAGTATCCCAGAGATGCGCAGCCTCCATCAGCAGCTCGAACTCGAAGCTCAGGTAAAGAAGTCGTGTCCGTTGAATGGTGAGGATGTCTGCAGTTTAATCACGTGTGAGAACTGCGCCTGGAGACTTAAAATCTCGTTTGGTCTGTTGTGATGCAGCTGCTGTTGGTTGGGCACGGGGCGGCATGAACTCGAACGTCCCCGGTGAAGAGTGATAAGGCGCAAAGGTAGGCGCTTGATTGTGTCGCCCGAATGATGAATTGTCGAGGCTCATCGGCGCTAATCCCATGTTTCCTCCATTGCTCTGTGTTGAATGTGCAGGTGTCCTTGTCTGCTGCTGCTGGTCGAAGTGCGACATGAAGCTGAAGAACCTTTCCATAAGGTTGGGTCCACGCTTGAAGAGGGTGATGGAGTCACCATCTCTGGTGCTCTTCCTGTGTTTCTTGAGCAGTCCCGGTCTCTGTCTGCAGTCCTGAGGCGTGCAGTCCAGAGTTGCCGTGTTGAGTTTCTTGGCCGCTGGGTGAGCCCGTAGAGATTTCTTGCCCTTGCTGTCCATGTCTTGTAATCAATGAAGTCGTTGAATTGAGTTGAGTTGCAGGTTGTTGATAGAGCGTAGTTGCTGGGAGTTTGGTCTCTGACCAGCTCTCATACCATGTTGGGCTGAGAAAAAGCCCTTAGGATCTTTTCAGAGACTAAGTCCCAGCTGTGAGACTTGAGACTTTGAGTAGTGCAGCGGAAGTTGAGGCAGTTGAGTTGAACCCTTGTACTAGTATGTAGAACAAGTGATTGATTAAAGAAACAAGCATACAGCAATATATAGAAGATAAGAAAGCAGTTATAGAGTACAGTTACAGGAACGGTTTTCGAGTCGCACAGCGACTCGATTGCCGCTTCGGTTACCATCCGTGATGTTGTAACGGTCAGTCGCAACCTCCAGTTGCGACCTTTCGAGTCTTTTCGCATTCTTTGTCCGCCCCCTCATGTAACCTCCGTTGCAGGCCCCCAAATTGCAGACTTTTTACTCTGATTCAGACTTTTTTCAGACTTTTTTTGGGGGTGTACTCTGATTGGGAAGACTTTTTTTTGTACTTGACTCTGATTTTTCAGAGAAGATTTATGTACCTACGCTGATTTTTCAGACTTTTTCTACTAGTGTACTCTGATGCCTCAACCTTGTATGGGGGGATGACTCTGATTTGTGTAATACCGGAGGAGCGAGATTTACCTGTGAGGGACGCTGATTGGCCCTTAGCCAAAATCAGAGCGCGATGCTTGCGAGGGGCTTTGTGAGGGCGGTTACCGGCCCTTCACCAAAATTGAAGGCCAGTGCGTAATGGGGGCTGTGTGAGGGAGCCACTGGCCCTTCACAAAAATCACTTCCCACTTTGTGCAGGGTGCGAGTGTGAGGGGCCGATTGGCCCTTGAAAAAAAATACCGATGTTTGCTGGGGTTGTGTGTGTGAGGGCGCCCATTGGCCCTTCACGAAATAGCCACGTGGATGGCGCGATTTCCCTCCCTCCCTGCAATTTTACTTTGCCTGCCCCCCAATCCTTTCCGCCCGCCCCATTAGCGCTGGCGCGGGGGGCCGGGTCGAGGGTGACGCGAAATTCTGTGTGCTGTCGCCAGCACACAGTTAGCAAGAGAACGCAAGAAGATAAAGCCCCTGGATTAGGTAAGGGAAGGAGAAAATAAACATACAGAACACCAGTTTTAAAATCAGCGTAAAAATTAATGGTAACTCTGAATAATCAGACAAAAAATCTCTTGTTACTCTGATTTTTCAGACTTTTTTTAAGGGGAGACTCTGATGGCCATACCAAGGGATGACAAGCAATTCTGATGAATCAGACACCCCCAAAACCAATTTGGGGGCCTGCTCCGTTGACTCGCGTGCTCCCCTGTAGTCTTCCTCGAGTGCAGTGTTACACTTCAGAAACGCTGAAGTCCTTTGAGATATTTCCAACAAGGTCAAATCACAAGGCCTCCGTCAGTGCTACCGTAGGTCTTGGACAAGCCCACCGCAGTACATGGCATCGTTGTGACACGAGTGACCCAACGGAGACTTGCACTTGATCAACTCCACATCCACGCTCCAGCCCAAGCAATCACAAGCAGTTGCCTCTTCTTCCCTATGTTGGGCTGAGAAATGCCCTTAGGATCTTTCCAGAGACGAAGTCCTACTTGTTAAGGACTTTGAGTAGTGCAACGGAAGTTGAGGTAGTTGAACCCTTGTACTGGTATATGAGAACAAGTGATTGATTAAAGGAACAAGCATACAGCAATATATATAAAGTAGGAAAGAAAAACAGTTGTAAAATACAGTTGAAAAAGGCGGTTTATCGAAGTCGCACAGCGACTCGATTGTCGCTTCGGTTACCATCTTTGCAGCTGTAACTGTCAGTCGCAACCTCCAGTTGCGACCCTTCGAGTCCTTTCGTGTTGTTTGTCCATCCCCTCGTGTAACCTCCGTTGACTCGCGTACACGTTACGATCTTCCTCGAGTGTGGTGTTACACTTCAGAAACGCTGAAGTCCTTGAGGTATTTCCAACACCCTACCTATGGCCAAACAACTTCTGAGGCGCCTCAAAATCAACTCCATCTAGGGAAAAGCTGCCGCACCCACACTCCAGCCCCAGCAATGACATGAAGGGCCTCCTCTTCCCGTGCCTATGGGCAAACCCCCCCCCACTAGGGTTCCTTCAGTGGTCCTCCTCCTCCTCCCCTGGACACATGCTAGCCAGAGCTTCCTCACTCTCATACTGCAGAGGAGACAGGAAGGGCGGGGGGGGGGGCGGAGGAGAGGTAGGGGGGAAGAGGAAGGGGGAGAGGGGAGGCGAGGGGGGGAGAAGCGGGGGAGAGAGGGAATGTGTTGAGTCCCTCCCTGTCGTGCCCACCAATGAGTCAGCATCAAGGGTTGACAGTCCCTTCTATTGAGGCTTGACTAATCGGTTCAGCCCCACATGCTGGCATGAGGTTTTGACGGCTCGTGCTCAAGTTGCCAAACTGAAATTTTCACCGCACTGGAGATGACTGCGCCCTACACAACCACGGTTGAATGTGAGACAACCGAGCTAAACCGAGAACGAACAACGTTTTTTTGCCACCTAGCTCGTGCTTCACAGGGCAGCAACAGAGAGTTCACCTGGCAGCCACAGATATCCCACCTCGCAGCAACAGAGAGCCCACCTGGCAGCAACAGAGATCCCACCTGGCAGTAACAGACAGCCCACCTGGCAGCCACAGTGTATGCAGTAGAAGTGCCTGTGACGCAGGCGATGCAGTCGCAGCAGGAGCAGCTGAAAGGCAGGGGGGAGGAGGGGCGACAACGGAAAGACAAGGGTGGGCTTCATTAGGACTTGAAACGGAAGTGCCAGTGGGAGCAGGCGGCGCTGAAGGGGGAGCAGGCGGCGCTGAAGGGGGAGCGGGCGGCGCTGAAGGGCACGGGGGAGGCGGGAAGGGAGGCAGGGGGAGAGGGGGGTGCAACAAGGGAGAGACGAGGGAGGCGCACTGAGAAGTGGCCTTTGTCAGGACTTGAAGCGGACGTGCCTGTGGCGCAGGCGATGCAGTGCCAGCAGGAGCAGCTGAGAGGGATGGGAAGAAAGAAAGGGGCGCATTGAATTGCGGCTCTTTCGTTAACTCAAAAGCGAAGTGGAGTGGGGCTCACCCACACCACACACGCTCCTGCTATTGTCACAAACCAATTCACCTCCTCCGAAACGAGGTGACTCTTGAGTCGACTCAAAAGTCACCACACACGCTCCTGCTATTGTCTCAATCCGGCTCACCTCCTCCGATACAAGCTCCTCGAGCGGCACCTCCCCTGCCTCCCCTCCCTCGGCTCCCTCGTCTCCTTCCTTCCCTGCTCCTCCTCCTTCCACCTCCCTCGCACCTTCTCTCCTCTCCTCCACCTCCTCCCACTCCTCATCACTCACATCATGAGCATCACACTCCGCCACTACCCTCCTCTTCCTCGCTCTCCTCATCCTCTCCCTCCCCCTCCCAGCTCCAGTCCCCCTCTCCATAACACCAGCACCAGACTTAGCACCTCCACCACCAGCACCACCAGCAGCAGCACCAGCACCACCAGCAGCACCAGCAGCAGCACCAGCAGCACAACCACCAGCACCACCAACAGCACCAGAAGAGGAGGAAGCAGCCCCAATCTCCTCCGCCTTGCTCCTAAGCCACTCATCTCCCCACTCCAAGTGCAGCAGCGCCGTCCGTGCCTTCCTGAACGCCCCTCTGAGCTTCCACTCGCCCCACCTACCCTTCCTCCTCTCCTCAAACACTCTCTTTAACGCTTCCTCCCCGCTCCTCCGCATCCTCACTGCCGCTTCCGCTCTCCGCGCCTCCTGCTGCTTCGCCTCCTCTTCCTCCTCTTCCTTTCCCAAACCCTTTCTGTCCCGCTTTAAGCTCAAGGTCACGGGTTCGATCCATACGATCGGTTTCTTGATCTGTGTTGCTGCTATGGGTGCTGCTAGTTCCCCTGGTTTCACCAATGCTTGTGTCTGTCTCGCTATAGCAAACTTCTCTTGGGGTACTGCACACGGCGGATCTACCCTTTCATACACTGTACAAACGGGCTGCGATCTGCTGTCCTCGATACTAGCTTCCTCACGAGCCTCGGCAAGGCTTTCGCCACCACTGCCTTCCCTGAGACGATCGTTCAACAACCAAGAGAACCTCGACTTTTTAGTGCTCGACTCTTTAGTGCTCGAGTCTTTAGCGCTCGACTCTGAGTGCCTCTGCTGCCGTCCGTCCGCCTTCTCTCCACTTCTCAACTCCTCCTTTCCCCCTCGCTCCTCCAGCTCCCCGCTATTATTCCCTCCTATCGGTTCCGCCCGTCCCTTAAACCCCATCTTCTGCAGCAGCTTAAAGCCGATGTTGGACGGCGGTATAGGCGCCGCGAGGCCCTCCGCTAAAACCGCCGCCTCGGCCTTATCCTTCTCCTCTCGCACCTGCTGCCGCCGCTCCTGCCACGTCAGCCGCTTCCAATCGTCTGGCCGCTGACGTGGCGCAGCCTTGTGCTGCTTCGTCTGCTTCTTTTGCTGCTGCAGCTGCGCATCGCGCAGCTTCGTCGCGTCTTCCGGCGGTAAGAACGCCGACAGATCGCCCATGTAATCGTCCACGTCAGCATCGGCGCCCCGTGCTGCGGCCGCCATCGGTCTTAAAAAGCGCGCAATTCCGATCGGACGCAACCACTCGGTGATTTTGAGAATTCTACTAAAAAACACTCGAAAACCAGCTAGGGCAACTTGGATTTAAATCTGCCCGCTTTCTAGGTGCCCCGATAGGTCGGATACGGATCGTGGGGAGCAGCAAACAAACCTCTAGGCTCGAGGAGACGGCGTGCGCAGTTTAGCGAAGTCTAGCGCTGATGACGGCGATAGCATGTGGAGAGAAACTTATTGCTGCCTCGAGGTCTAGGCACTCGGACGTTTTAACCCACATAATACTTATTGACAAATATTCTTTGGATAAGGATCCGCGAGCTAACCATCGTCTTCGTCCTTCGGGACATCCGTTAAAATTGGAACGATACAGAGAAGATTAGCATGGCCCCTGCGCAAGGATGACACGCACAAATCGAGAAATGGTCCAAATTTTTTTGGCGACCTGGCGGAGAGGGGAAAACTCCTACCGCCAGCAAGCATGCACTATAACGAACGAGACAACTCTCCTATCTTTATGTTTGGCCTCAATATACGTGCAAAAGAATTAAGAAACAACTAAGGTGGAGATTTGCAGGAGCCGCTTCTTGAGGGGAGGGGAGGGGAGGGGAGTACCACCTTGTCAAACATATCTTTCTATGTTGTTATAGACTATACAGGGTTGTGCCTTAGGGAGTACAACCCACTAGGTTATACTCCGTTGTATGTCATTGTTCTAATCATTCGTTCTCTTCAACATACTATCATGAGTAGGTTAGGTCCCCCCCGCCCACTAGCGCTTCCGCCCTAGGTCCTAGCCGCCCCGTACCCCTCCTGCACGTGATGGCCCGTCTCCCAGCCCGCCCCGTCGCCTAGCTGGTCCCGTAGCCCAGCCCGCCCCGTCTCCTAGCCGACCCCGCCTCCTAGCCGGCCCCGCCTCCTAGCCGACCCTGTAGCCCCGTCGGCCCCCGCCTTCTAGCGGCCCGTCGCCTAGCCGGCCCCGTCGTCCGACCGGCCCCGTCGCCTAGCTGGCCCTGTAGCCTAGCCGGCCCCGTAGCCCAGCCGGCCCCGCCTCCTAGCCGACCTTGCCTCCTAGCCGGCCCCATCGCCTCGCCGGCCTCGTAGCCCAGCCGGCCCCGTCTCCTAGCCGGCCCCGCCTCCTAGTCAACCCCGTCGCCTAGCAAGCCCCGTCGCCCAACCTGCCCCGTCGCCTCATCAACCCCGTCGCCCAGCCGGCCCCGTCGCTCGACCGGCCCCGTCCCCTAGCTGGCCCCGTCGTCTAGCCGGCCCCGTGGCCCAGCCGGCCTGGTCGCCTCACCGACCCCGTCGCCTAGCCGGCCCCGTTGCACAGCCGGCCCCGTAGCCCAGCCGGCCCCGTCACCTCGCCGCCTAGCCGGCCCCGTCGCCTCGCCGCCCGCGGCCCCGTCTCCTACACGCCTCGCCGCCGTCATCGGCCCTCTGCACTGCGCTGCACCGCCCGGTACCGCACTGCACCGCCCAGTACCGCACTCTACCACTTTGCACCGCACTGCACCGCACTACACCGCAGTGCACCGCATTGCACCGTCCTGCACCGTACTGCACTGCACTACACCGCCCTGTACCACACTTCCCCGCTCTACATCGCACCGCGCAGCACCCTATCGTGCTACACCTCCGCCTACCGCACTGTACAGCACTGCACCGCACATCACCGCTTCCCGCCGCACCCTACTGCTCAGTACTGCCTTTTTGCTGCTGCAGCGACCATGATGGCAGACTCGGTCCTGCGTTTTGATGTGGAGGGGCAGCCGATTGAGTTCGACTCGTGGCTCGTCGACCTCCGTCGCCACCAGACTGGTCAGCGGCAGGACGGCCACTCCCTGGCCGTCCACATCGACGGTACGCTCCATAGCACGGACCCCCCTGCTGCTCTACTCGCTGACCCCACGTCTGCTGACCGTGAGTCCGCTGCCGTCGGTGCCCTTGCTTGTGCTGTCTGGTTGTGGCGTGACGCTGTCGCACAGCTTGCGATTAGTCATGCCCTCCCCCTGTCTGAGCGTCCCCGCTTTAGGTCAGTCAGGACTACGCAGGAGTTCCTAAAGGCTGTTGCCGCGCGCTATTCCACCTCGCCCTCTGCCTCTGTCGGTCGCCTGATCCTGCCCATGCTCTTTCCTGACCTCCCGTCTCTCCCTACTGTCGCTGACCTAGCCGCCCATCTGCGCACACTAGATACGACCTGGCGCGGTGCCTACACTGAGGCCCAGCTTCGTGTTTTTCAGCCCCCCATCTGCTCTACCCTCTACCTGCTTGCCACCCGTCTCCCTGACCGCCTTGTTACCGCCCGCGATCACTTCCTTAGTCTCCACCCCACTGACCTCACCCTCACTGACTTTGTTGACACCCTGTCTGCCGTAGAGACTCGTCAGCGTTCTATCGCCCAGTCTAGCGGTACCGTGCCGGTCTCTATCTTCCACGGCTGCGCCCCTGCTCAGTGCACTTACTCTGATGGTTCTGATGCGGTCGCTGAGACAACTCCTGCTGCAGAGACAGTCGCCGCAGTGCAGTTTCATCGGGGTAAGGGTCGCCGCCCCAAGGCTGGGCGCGGTGGAGGTAGCGGAGGAGGAGGTGGTGCCGGTGGTGGAGGTGGTTCGCCCGCTGGTAGTACTGACGAGGGGGCTCGGCCTGGTGCCTCGGAGCAGCAGTCCCAGCAGCAGGCGCCGTAGCTAGACCAGCAGCAGCAGCAGCCGCAGCACCCGCAGCAGCAGCCGCCGCAGCAGCAGCAGCAGCAGCGATGGGTCGGCCGTCTCCCCCCCAAGTGGCCTGGAGCCGGCAGTGACGGTGGTCGCATTGGTCGTACGCGCAGCGTGTCGTCGGGTGTTGGTCAGACTGATGGGCGCTGCCGGTACCAGCTCCAGACCGGTCCTCGCTGCGGCCTCGTGTGCGGTAAGATCGGTCATACCCCCAATCGTTGCTTCCGTCGCCTAGACGACTTGTTTCGTCTCCGCTACGGCCTGTCGCCAGACCTCCCTGACTGGCACAGTCAGCTCTGTCGTGGTGTTAGGATCTTTGATAAGGACGTGGATGAGATTAGCTCTGCTTTGTATGTGCTGTATGTCGATGACTCTAGTGTGACTGGTTCCTATTACCCGGTGTTGCCCAGTGTAGGTGTGTCACGTATGCCTAGTTCAGGCTCCCCTGCTGCACCAGGCGTAGGATACCCCTTGGGTCCTCCCTCGCTCCTCCGACCCCTGTCACCACTTCCGCGCTTTCCTTCACCTTGGACTCCGGCGCTTCCCGCTGCTTCTTTCGGGACTCCACTACACTTACGCCACTTGCCCCTCCTGCCGCAGTTGCTCTTGCAGACCCTTCCTCCAGTCATGTAGTTGCCCGTAGCTCCACTACTCCCCCATGTCCGGCAGTTCCCTCGTGCTCCCTTACAGGCCTGCACATCCCCTCGTTCTCTAGGAACCTTCATGGTGTCGGCTGCCTCCAGGACCTTGGCGTTCCTTGGGCACGAGCGGTACGCTGTCTGTACTGAGGCCGCCACTGGTGCCCCCCTCACGACATTCCCCCGGGACCCGGTGTCTAGCCTGTTCATGCTAGACACTGCGTCCCCCCCGGTTGGGACGCCTCCCCAGGTAACAGCGTCCTCCCAGGTTGCTGTGGCGTGCTCGTGTTGATCGCTTACTCACCCGTCGCTTCTGTGGCACCACCGCCTAGGTCGCCCCGCTCTCACTCGTCTCCGTCAGATGTCCCAGTGCCGTCTTCTCCTAGGTCTCCCTGAGTTGTTCCCTGCGCTCCCCTCCTCACCAGCGCCTCCGTGCACGCCGTGCGTCGAGGGCCGGCTCCGCCGTACCCCTCAGTCCTCCTCGTTCCCCCCCACCTCCGCACCCTTGCAGACCCTCCACATGGACGTCTTGGGCCCCGCCCCCATCCATGGGCCGCGCTACGAGCGCTACATCCTAGTGCTTGTCGACGAGTACACACGCTACACCACTGTGTTTCCCCTGGAGCGGAAGGCCGACGTGCCTGATGTTCTTATCCCGTGGCTTGTCTTTGCCCGTGTTCACCGAGGTCTCCCTGTCTTGCGTCTTCACTCCGACCGTGGTGGCGAGTTTGCCTCTGGCTGCCTTGGTCGCTTCTGTCGTGCGGAGGGCATCACCCAGACGTTCACCCTGCCGGACTCCCCACAGCAGAATGGGGTCATTGAGCGACGCATCGGTCTGGTCATGGAGGTGGCTCGTACCTCCATGATCCATGCCGGTGCACCCCATTTTCCGTGGCCGTTCGCCATTCGCTACGCCGCCCACCAGCTTAACCTGTGGCCGCACCCCCAGCAGCCGCAGGTTTTGCCGACCCTTCTTTGGACCGGGTCCCCTGGTGCCGCGTCTGCGTTCCACGTCTGGGGCTGCCTTGCTCACGTTCGTGCCCCTGGCCCGGACAAGCTCACTGCCCGCACCGTCCCCTGTGTCTTCCTCGGTTTCCCCCTCGATTCGTTTGACTGGCACTTCTACCACCCGCCGTCTCACCGGTTCTTTCACTCTCGCGACGTCACCTTTGACGATTTTGTCTCCTTCTACCACCGTTTTCCCCACCGTGGTCCCCCGGTTACTCCTCCCCTGTTCCTGGTCCCCCCTCCCTCGGTCGCCCTTGCTCCCCCACCTCTCCGCCCTGCCCCGTCTGGTGTGTCTCACGTCACCCCCCTCCCGTCGGTTGTCCATGCCGAGGAGTCTGCTGATTCTCGTGGCTCGGCGGAGCCTCTTCCCCCGCTTTTCCCCGCCCCAGTCTCCCCTCCCCTGTCGCTGCCGTTGATGTCACAGCCGCAGCCGCCTCCGCCGCAGTCGCGTCGCAGCCGCTGTCGTCACCGCCGCTAGAGTTCGTGCGTTCTGGGGGTGCTGGGGAGCATGCTGGAGCTGGTACTGGAGCGGGTTCTGGGGGTGCTGGCGTGGAGCTTCTCGGGGGGAGCCGTGCTGTCACTAGAGGTTCGGGTGTTGGAGTCGGGCAGTAGACGCAGCCGTCGCCGCCGGTGTCCGCTCTTCGCCTCCTCGGTCTCCCTTCCCCTGACCGCCTGCCGGTGCCTCCCCCGTCGCTGTCGCCGCCGCCTCCTCCTCTGCCAGTCCACGGCCCAGTGTTTCCTCCCCCGGACTCCTCTCCGGCTCGTTTCCCTCCCCGTTCTCCTCCTGTATCTCCTCCCCTCTCTCCTGACCCGACTCCTCCGTCTCACGTCTGGTCTCGTCTTCCGTCTCGTGCTCGTCCTACCTCC